TTTCAGATATTATTCAGAAAATATTTTTGGATAATATATAATAAAGCGAAGAGTGATCTTATGATATAAACTACAATTTTTATACTCAATTGTAGTTTACAAATGTGATTACTAAAAGTTATTTTATGTTTATACTATAATACATTTCTGAATATTCTATTTATATTTTATGATTATTTCTAATATAAATATGAATTGTAATCTTTTGAATCATTCTTAGCCATAGAATCTAATGTTAAAACTCATTTATGACATTAAACTTAAGCATTGAACTTAAAAACAATCATTTTTATAATTTTCATATCAAATTAAATACAATGGATAAGTTTTAACAGTGGACTCTACGGCTAAGAATGATTCAAAAGATTACAATTCATATGTAATATCCGTACTACAACATTTAAATTAATTAGCATTTTAACTAGTTTATCAATTAATATAACCAGTTAGCTGTCAAACTGTGCCAAGTAGTAATTAATGCCAATTGGTTGTCCTAGGTGATATTTTGCGGCAAAGGCCCTAATATCCCAAAACAGTCTGCCTTCCAGACTATAAGACTGTCCGCCAACTTCTGTCCGGTTGTCGGTTGGCATCACATCCGGCTGTTTGTACACCAAAAACACATACCTATGAAATCCGGTGCCTCTCGAGGGCACCGATGGTATAAATTCGGTTAATTGCCGACCATTTTGAAGGTCAGCGCCGGCGATGTTCACTACGAGCCAGTGTTTAAATTGACCATAGTTTGTACCGTTACGACCAAATAGATCAGGGTCAACCATTGCCAGTGTATAGTAGGCATCAAAATGTGCGGCCCATTCAACCGATGGCTGGTTGGCTGGTTAATTGCTGGTCAACACATTACCCAACGTTGCCTCAGCTCCGGTCGGAAATCTTACCTGAAATATGTTTTGCTGTTATTACTAAATGTTGTAATTGTTAATGATGTCAAAATGCAGTCATACAGTAATAATATCATTGGGAATCGTATCGATCACATCGGAAACTATACCATCAATGTTACCGATAGTGAGTTGCGGCCGTCTGTCACCATAGATCGT